AAAGTACAATATATCTCGCCTTGCATATTCAACTATTAAATATTGGACTCCATACAATGAAATTTGCTAGATCAATCTTGTGAAAATCTCATTAAATTTAACAAAATTCTTAGATTACATTTATTGATATTAAGATATAAATAATTTTAAAAAAAAAACATGAGGATATATAATAAATACATAGCATCATACTTGACATTTTGGTTTGTTTTGAAACTTAGTTGAATGGACGACAATTGCCTGTTGTACAAACACAAAAGTAGAGGACGACATTTCGAACGTCTTCCGCCTTTTGTCTTTCGGAAGTCTTTCGAAACGTCGTCCTCTAAACTTGTGTTTCTACAACAGACAGTTGCCGTCATTTCAACTAAGTTTCATCATTGGGGTGTTTTCTTTTGGATATTCGTGCAAAGCTACACAAGGGCTATCGGCGCTAACCGTCCCTAATTTTGGGTTGATAGACTAAAGGCAAAGCAGTTATCAACAAGATTCACCATTAACTCTTATTCTATCCTAATCACAGGTTGGGATTTAACTATCACTCTTATAACGCACCCATGGCCCTAAAATGCGGAGCGCGATGTTGAATATTTGATATAGTGTTGTTTTCTACTGCGTAAAAGCGAGAATATCATAAAAGAACATTAAAATATACATTTCAATGAGTGATCTTTTTTTAAGGAAAAGGTTTTTGAATTTCAATGTCATTATTTATTGCGTGGCAGCGTTTCCCAAACTTTTGTTATCCACGCTCCCTTTAATAAATATGGTTTCTTGCGCGCCCCCTCTTTTTATAAATGAGTGAAAGAGTGAGTTAACGAGTGACGAGATGTAATCATGGATACACATTAAAATGTTATATGTATTGTAGTAATTGATATATTACATGGATACACATTGAAATGTTATATGTATTGTAGTAATTGATATATTACATGGATACACATTAAAATGTTATATGTATTGTAGTAATTGATATATTACATGGATACACATTAAAATGTTATATGTATTCTAGTAATTGCTTATTATTTTCATTAATAAAAAATTTATCTAAACGCTTAATTTTGCGTTATTGCACAACTGACTCTACCCAACTGCCTGCGCCCCCAAGAGATTATTTACACCCCCTGGGAGATGCAACCCATACCTTGGGAAGCACATGTGTATAGTGTTTTTGAAAAGGCATGAAATTCTCTATCAAGTTTGTATGAAAATTTGCTCAAATAAAGTGAAAAGCATGAGAGGTCGCTTATGAAATATTAGATCTACATATCCTTACTGGTTAGTAATTTTTATGATGATGAACATAAACGGTTCGTTATCAGAGTATGTATTTATATACATATAAATATACGTATGTTCTTTGTTAGTTATTTCTCAAATAGCATAGATATACTCATTGAGAAATTCATCAATATATACATTTGTTGATATGAAGAGAGATGGTAGAATGGGCTGTTAAAATATCACTATCAGCTGTTTGTTTACAACACGATATGTATCTGAAACAAACCTTATCACTAGAATAGTTCTAAGGTATTGTGATTTAGTGTTGTGCATCAAAGTATCACTCTCATCAGCGGAATCTTAACCTGTTTAGCTTCACCAAGTACATGATGTTTAACACATATGATATTGAAAAAGGGAGGAACCCTGTATCCTCAGGAGTTTTTCTCTTCTACATGTGGCACCGTGTCTGAGTTCCTGTCTTCTTCCAAACTATATGTTCTCGTGTGTATTCGAAGATTTGCAAGACAGATATGGAATTGGTAGAATAAGCAGATTTTGATTACATAACACATTTTCTGAGAATCTGCTCAATATTCTGTTTTGGATTACGTTTTCAGAAAGCTTAGAGAATTATGGCCCGGATTATATTCCTACCCAGCTGTAACACTATAGACCACATCATAGCATTCAACAGCTGTTTCTATCATCACACGTGCAAATTCACTGTGTCTATGATAGTTTGTCTCTATCATTCCTCGGGCTGTTTTTGACTATACAGACAGATCATAGGTATTTCAACATATCTGCATCTTTTTTAAACTCGTGCTCTTGCTCTTGTTAATCCCAGCAACCAAACGAGAGAGAAAAATAAAACCAACCAGTTGGATGACAGATCTGTGTTTTGCAGATACTTTATGGTTTTTCAATTGGACATCAGCGAACTTAATTACCACACTCCACACAATATCATTTTAAATCATATAATTTTCCGGATACCTACTGTGCTAAAATAGAACTTGGAAAATATTCCCACCAAGATGGAAGTACAAGACGTTTTTTTTCTTTTTTTTTTTGCTGTTAAGACAGTTAATGTGTTCAATTTATTTGTTAGTAGTTATAAACAAAGCTACACAAAGGGCTATCTGTGCTCTGCCCACCAAGGGCATCGAAACCTGGTTACTAGCGTTGTAAGTCCGCTGTGCCACCGGGGGGCTGTTAAACTTATACAGCCGTTAAAACCACATTTTCTTCCCGTTGTTTTGAGATATGGTGTTCTGTTAATATTAAAGGGCCTTAATGAAACGCATGTTTTCAGATGTTAATATTCGACTGCAGAAATGAAATAGTTTCAACTGTTAAACACGTGATCGTACTCATACTTAACGTTGGAAAACTTTTCCTATACCTAATTTTGTAATATATAATATTTTTGGCAGGAATATTTTTAGAATAAGCATATTTGGAAACTACGCTTTCATTTTTCTCATTTTCAACAACAGCGAAAGAAAAAAAAAAAAAGGTGTTGGTCAATGTAAGCTCTTTTTTTTTGTATGTTTATTTCACCGACTTCTTATATTCACTGTTGCAGCATGACTAAAACATGTACGAACCATTCTTCTCATTCTGAGATTCATTTCGTTTTAGCTAATAGATTGTCTGAATCAAGTTCAAGAAGTAGTTATAAAAAAGTTTACTAACTGTTGTTATTTTAAAATGTTGTGAAGGTTTCATGTTAAGGGTCTCTTTTAAAATAATTCGTATTTTCTTAATTTCACGACCCATTCAATTTCCAACTTTGTTTGAAGTGTTGAAGTATAATAAAGATTGATAAGTCAATTAACGCAAGTATGATGAATGGAATATTTGGCATAAAAGATGATATTATGGGAAGATTAATATTAAAACAATGTTGTCTTGGAATTAATAGTCTCAATGTGCATTTTCTATTACCTGCATTTAGAAAAGGTACCGATTTTGCAAGTGAATGTACTTGTATGCTTTAGATAAAGGCACTCAAAATTGGAGCTAGTACCTTTGTTTATGTTTTAAACGTTACGTGATATATAACAGCAAAATAAAATATATAAAAACACTTCATAACTTTAGACTTTTATATTATTTATCATTTTTGAAAATGTCAGTGACATAATGTAGCTATACCAGAAACTTATTTACGTGATACAGTAAGCTTCAACAACCTTAACCACATTATAGGTCATCACGAATTCATCGGGGTTATATGTAAAGGTTGCTGACGTTGTCTTAGTGCAAAGTTACAGAATGGGCTATCCGCGTTCTGCCCACTGTGAGGAATCAAATCCCGGATTTTAGCGTTGTAAATCAATAAACTTATCGCTGTTCAAACGGGGTACATTGGTAAACCGACCCATAAAAAATTCCATTTGTGTGGAAGTCGTAATGGCAAATCGCTGTTTTAAATGAATTGATTTCTAAACTAAGTATTACCTAGTTTTGTAGAAAGTGTCACATTAAGTTCAATAAGGAGCTCCTATGCTTCAAATGCATAATGAATTATAAAAAATGGGCATTCAGCTACCATGCCCAGTGTAGTATAACGTTTTAAACTTTACGTTGTACATCTGATTATCCTTTAGAAAACTTAACTAATACAGCAAAAGGTCTTTAAAAATATACACAAATTATTAGTGTGAAGAAGATATCTATTGGTCAAACACGCAGGGCAGATAATACTTAAAAACATGTACGTAAAATAAATCTCAGCTTGTTTACTTTTTCACTTAACTTATATTCATCTTTAGCAATTTCTATTGAATATATATATATATATATTTAGAAATATTAATTCACCGGAGAATTTTCAGAACTCTATTGTTATAAGTTATGAGGTGCAAAAACTAGCTGAAAAAAAAACATGTCAACAAAAAGTCAAAATTTAATATTCCTATTTTCGGAGTTAGTTTGATTATTTGTTAACTCACTAGTCTTCAAATGCTGACGTAAATTACTATTCTTTTCTTTCGAATTATCGGAGTGTTTTTATTTTTTCCAACTGTGAAAAAGGCTCCATTCAGCACGTCGCTCTCTAAAGGCACTTAGTTTCTCAAAATATACTTATTAAAACTAGCCAGTTAGAAATTCCCAGTTATGCCTATATTTAGTATATGCTCAAATATAGTGTAACAAATAGACTTTGCAAAAGCCTAATACCTGATTTATTGTTGCTGAATGTATTCTATTTTATACTTGGATATGGTTATTTTTTATGCTTCCAAAATATAAATCGTGCCAAAGACCCACTTACATTTATTCGAACCGTTGAATCGTGCAACAAAGCCTTTCGTTTCACTTACCATAGTTCGAACCGTTGAATCGTGCTACAAAGCCTTTCGTTTCACTTACCATAGTTCGAACCGTTGAATCGTGTCGTAGATCCATCCACTTCACTTGCCATCGTTCAAACTATTGAATCATGCCACAGACCCGTGAGTTTCACTTACCTTTATTCGAACCGTTGAATCGTGCTTCAAAGCCTTTCGTTTCACTTACCATAGTTCGAACCGTTGAATCGTGTCGCAGATCCATCCACTTGTCATCGTTCAAACTATTGAATCATGCCACAGACCGTGAGTTTCACTTACCTTTATTCGAACCGTTGAATCGTGCTACAAAGCCTTTCGTTTCACTTACCATAGTTCGAACCGTTGAATCGTGTCGCAGATCCATCCACTTCACTTGCCATCATTCAAACTATTGAATCATGCCACAGACCCGTGAGTTTCACTTACCATCGTTCGAACCGTTGTCTCCGTCAAGAAACTCAAAGTAGTGAGTTTTACAAAGAACTCTGCTGTCATACAAAGCAAACTCTTCTCCCGTCGACAACTGCCTTTGACAAGAATCACAGGCAAAACATGCCAAGTGATAAACCAGATCACGGGCCCTCCGAACCCAGTCTGTTGGCTGAATTGTTCTGCTGCACTTACAACATTTCGCTCCGAATTCCCTAAATAAAACATATATTCCTAAGAAGACTGTAGCATATAACGTTTGAATATGCATCTTTTTAAGCTCTTAAAATAACACTGAAACTACTAAGCGGTCAGAAAATTGTATAGATCCACGAACACATTTGTATTACATTTAATTACATGGTATTTACGCAATTATTTTGGAAACTATCGACTAAGAAATTAAAATATTTAGCAATGGGTTAAAAGCTGGCTTAGTTCTATTTATATATTTATAAACAATACTACGTTTATGTTGAAGTTATTAATCACACAACATCATAATATTATTCTTGTACATTATTTTTCGCTAATTAAATGTACGACAAAAATATACTTTCCTTATATATTGTTTAGTTTTTTTATATTTACTCCTACTGTTTGCAAAGAATAACTAAGAACAATTAGGGGAACATAAATTAAGCATTTGCAAAATTACTTTAAACATCTACAAAGTACACTTACATATATTTATATACATATATATGTTTTTTAACTCAGATGGTATGTAATTATCAATACATTCTGATCAAAGCAAGCTAACTACATGCATGAAAACTAAAAGATAATAACTTATTAAATAATGTATCTAACTTTATATAATGCTTTAATCAGGATATATAATTTCATAAAATAAAAATAAAACAAGAAAACTAAAACTTCCAACAGATTCATTAGAAGGGAATCGAAGTTTAATGATGATTAACTGTATATTCCGAAACGTTGAAGTATTAAATGTTTGTTGCCGCCTCACAAGCGTCAAGTGTTCGTTGCTGTTGCCGTTTTACTTTTATTGATCATAAAACAAAAACTTGTGATGATTTCATTAAATTGCTTCACCAACTGGGTACGTTCGCTCTTATTGATATTTTCGGCCATAATCCAAATGATATCTTACGAGGTTTAGCCAGCATACTAAGCTGACATATCTAAAAATATGTGTGTTTTGTTTGGGTTTTAAACGTAATCTATAAAAATCTGCACATAAGCGTCTCTAATTTTGAGGTGATAATTATAGGAAAGGCATATAGTCAGCAGCACCCACCGCTAACTCGTGGGCTCCTTTTGCCTAATAGAATAGTGGGATTTCATATCACTCATAGATCGCACCCACAACCCTAAGGTGCAGAGCGCATTTTTGCGGTATCTCGAAGCGAGTCATGAATACTAAGATTCACAATCCGAGCACACCACCTCTAGCCAGTCCCATGTTTAACCATAACAGTCGACAAAGAATGTTTTATCACTTCACACTTAACAACTCCATTACGGGTTTTCGGTAAGAAAAACGTTGGTAAGCTACAATGGACCTAAAAAAAATGCGCTGTTTAACAACGTTTCCAGTCATATTTCATTTTAAAAGATGAAGCCTCTGAATTATTTCAGAGAACACACTGCATCCATATTTCCCAGGTGCGATATTTACAAGAACGTCAGATAATTTAAACTACATATTTCAAACAACAAGACAATCAAAGATTGTAAATCTTAAATATTTTTATGCTTCAAAAAAGCACATTGATCTTAACCTCTCAGAATCAATATGCGTGTGTGTGTGCGTCCTTATCAAGCTATAAAAATACGAAACTTATCTTCTTGAGAATAACCTGTCTTTGTCTTCATACACTATGAATAAAGTCCCTAACTTTGAAATATATAAAAAATATACTATACTTCTATGCCTTAAAGAATCCTCAACTTTCAACAGCTACTCACAAGTTAATAGGTGACATAATCATTTCATTATGCGTAATTAAGTAAGATTTAAACAATCAAATATATTCAAGTTATATCCCGCATGTAAACAGAATCCTGAATATTTGAATATTATTAATCATGTGATAACATCTGCGTAAGCACAAGATAGCACACATTTTTCTACTCATACAAAATATAATAAAAAATTAGCATACAGTTTTCTACTCATACAAAATGTGATAAAAAATTATGATACAGTTTTCTACTCAGATAAAATGTGATAAAGAATTAGCGTACAGTTTTCTATTCTTACAAAATGTGATAAAAAATTGCTGAACTAAAAATAAATGAAGAATAAAAAGAAAATGATATTACGTGAAACTATCTATTTAATAGGGCATGATGAGCTGGGGATAAAGGTGACAGAACAAGGTGATTTGGGGATAAACGCTTGCATAACATGTTACGGTTATTAACTATGAGCTAATAACATAAAAAAACAATTCAGAATTTACAAGATATTCATCTTATTAAATATAGCAATTGTTAAGAATAACGCTTGTTCTAAACACAGGAAAGCTTTTTTTGCAATAAGTCATCTTTGAATAACTTGTACTCATTTATAAAAACCAATTCATTGTCTTACACTAAATGATAATTGAATTCAAGATCCTCTGGTTAAGTGAACGAATAAATAATGTTTACAAATAAATATTATGTTACGTGTAATCATAAAACCGTGTATATGTTTTAGTTGTAACGGTATGGATGTTTGAAACCTGTGAGTTAGAATAATCCCGGAAACACTGCAATAATAGATAACTTTACTTGACCAGAGAGATGGTCTTTGGTTTTTTCTAATTTTTGACAGGAAAGTAATTTATAAGATATTACATTAGTTCTTATTTCACTGTGGCATCGAAAAATGGCATTTGGATTAATAGACTTCAGGTTATATTCTATGTTCGATGTATTGTTAGTTTGTTTGTTGTGAATTTCGCGCAAACCTACACGAGGGCTATGCTAGCCGTCCCTAATTTAGTAGTGTAAGACTAGAGGGAAGGCAGCTAGTCATCATCACCCACCGCCAACTCTTGGGCTAGTCTTTTACTAAATAATAGTGGGATTGAACGTCATATTATAACACCCCCACGGATGAAAGGGCGAGCATGTTTGGTGGGATGGGGATTCGAATCCTCGACCCTCAGATTGCGAGTCGAGCGCCCTAACCACCTGGCCATGCCGGGTCCCGTTCGATGTATCATTTGTAAATACTGCACGTTTATTGTTAATCGCTCAGTGTTTAGTCTGCGGACTTATAACGCTAAAAACTGGGTTTCAATACTCGTGGTGGGCACAGCACATATAGCCTATTGTGTAGCTTTACGCTTAACAACAAACAAACAAAACACTCGGAGACTTCCTTACAAGGATATCTGCAATTTCCTCTTGACGATAAGACGTTTCAGTAATCTATCAAGGCGGTATATGTTTTGTATATTCATGATGTTAGGAAAACACGTAAATTCAAGAAATCAATTTAACGAAAAGATACGAAGCGCTATAGCTTATATCTCGATCGCTTTCAAAAGGTGGGTCTATCTTCTTTAGGGGCAAACTGTAGAAGAAAGGTCAACATTTCGAAGGTACTTGGGTTATAGCGTTTCGTATCTTTATTTTTTGTATGTGATATACTAACAAATGCATATATAACCTTTGTTGGCCCAGTAAAACATGTATTGTTTTCCTTCGTTATTTTTATTTTTTGTGCCCCTTACAAAATAAATGTTTGTGTATTTTACAATACGATTTCCTAGGCCTTCCAACTTGTGTTATTTAACCATATCGATTAATGTAAGATTTGAAAAAGCTTAGATATGTTCTTACTGGTTTCAGAGTTTATATCTTTTGTAAATATCCTAAACACTTACTCTTCTGCTATATGAAATAACACATATTACTGCAAGTCATATTTTATTATAGAGTTAAATAAATAATCCTCAAACGTTTCTCACAGAGCCCCCAGTGGCACAGCAATATGTATGCGGACTTACAATGCTAGAATCCTGGTTTTGATACCTGTGGTGGGCAGAGCACAGATAGCCTATTGTGTATCTTTCTGCTTAATTACAAACAAACAAAAAATACGGCATCGTCTACCTTTTTACTGTTTTGTTCGATTTTATTATTATTTTATCCTAAGTTATGTTTGTGTTTGTTAACGTGGAATACGAGCTATTGTTATTATTTTCTGCTATCAACTTATTGCCATTTTCACATCAATATTTACGCTACTGATATCAATATAGAACAAATAAATTCCTTTGGCAATGGGCAAATATAAATATAAACCTACTTTTTACCCAACTCGTTGTTGGGGCAATTCACTTAGAGTCCCATCTTCTTCTGTGGATAAAACAATAATAATTACCCGGCGACTATCAAGTAAAACCCAATTTTGGACACATCATGCGCATTCTAGTTTTATCAACTCGTAGTGGTCTATCCGATAAAACGAATTATTTATATATAGATAATATTCCTTTCAAGCCACCAACCGTTAATGAAGACAATGAACATCTTATTTACTTCAAAATATTATAAACCCTGTTTTTACTCTTTTTTGTTGCTGTTTAGTGCAAAACTATACTCTGTCCACCATAGGGGAATCAAACCCCGGACTTTAACCATATACGTCCGTAAAACTCACCTCTGACCCACTGTGGATAACTCTGTTTCTCACAAACTAGTTTTAGTAACAACAAACAATAAAAAACGAGTGTTTTAATGATTTTTATATTTTGCAGAAATTTATTACCGTGATTTCGAGAGCTTTACAGAAAGTTAATTATCATTTAATTAAATTCATTCCGCGAACGCAGACTTATTAAGACCTTTGCGTTATGTTCACGTGATGTTTGTGGTTATGTAGGAAACAATCGACCTGTTAGACTACCATCATCGAATCAAGCGTAGCGCGTGCCATCCCTTTCCTGTTTCCTAACGATTATGACATGCTTCACTTGTACGACCGCAACCAGGGGCTAGAAATTAAATTTAGAAATTTGAAGAAAGACAGCATACTTCTGGTTAATGGAATCTGCTGCTCTTGCTGGAAGCCAGATATTCTGCCGTGTGTATGTGACGTCAGAGTGTAAGTGCATTTGACGTAAGTCAATGTGCTGGATAGGGTCAGTTAGAATCAGTATAAATTTCTAGAGCAGCAGTTTATTCAATTGGAGTAACACACAGAATCTGAAGGTGGACTGCTTCACTCACGTGTCTATATTATATAGTA